TGCATAAAGCCTAGTCTGTATTGTTTCATGTTATGAAGGGAGTGTGTTGTTTTACTAGTGTGCCCTCACCTGGACAAAATGGAGACAACAGGTGAAATTACACAACAGCTTTGAGGCATCAGGCTGATTTACATTTACACAACATGCTGGTATATTCAACCTTCAGTGTATGAAGCTCAACATGCTCTGAGTTGTATGTCTCTATTCAAAGTCTAGAATAGTTTCCACAGAAAATAATTCTAACGTAGGTGTGACCAGGGCTGATTGTCCTATGGGAAAGTTGTCACAAGGCTTAGGCCTATATCTCAGTAGGCTAACTATACGATTTTGATTTTGTTTCTCCAGTCTTCAGTACCACATGATCCTTTTTGTGGAAAACATGATACCATTCAATAGTCTGTAAAACAGAAATTATTATTATTTTTATTCAAGACATCATGTTACAAAAGATTTAGATTTCAAAGAAATGCTGTTCTTTTGATCTTTCTATTTATCAAGGAATCCTGAAAAAATATATAGGCTATAACAAAAATATGAAGCAGCAACATCGATTTTCAACATCATAGTAGCCTATATGTATGTTTTTCTTTATATAATAATATGTATTGAACTGCACATAACCACTTTGCTGGCTGTTCTGTATTCTTGACGAATAGAGACTCTTTAATCCTCAGGCAATGTGTTTCCCATGTATGTACACCAGGGGGCAGGTTTGCATAACACAGCAGCCAAACAAAGTTGTATTAAAGGCCTTCCAAATAAAAACAATCAAAGATACATAAACGAATAGTCAGAATGTGTCTATTGCACATTTACAGTCATGTTCCAGTCAAAGTTATTGATAGAGAGTCTATGAATGTTGTATTTATATGGGTACATTCACGGGGAATCAATTTTGTGATTGTCACACAATTATACATCATTTACTTATTAAAGTTCTGCAGAGTAGTTAAAAATTCAATCAAGTGGCAGTTGAGCAATAGATGGGAGTAAAAAATTTATCAATTACATTGTTCTTGTTTGAATCTAAAACCAAGCTAAAATTAATCAAGCTATATAATATCAAAAATTATTGTGAAAGAATTTGATAATAATTGAAAAATTAATTGCTTAATATCTGCAGGGAGATAACACTTTGCAATATATTAATGACATTGCAGTTAGATTGAGAACAAAAAAAAAATGTCTGCATTGCTTGATTCCTCTCGACTGAAATGCTGTTTTGAAATACACTGTAATCTATTTTTATGATAGTTTCTTACTGATATTTTCCATCTCATACACATGTAATTGAGAAAATGAGAAAATCTGACAGTATGTCTCGCTTTGCATTTATCTTTGCACCAATCTTATCTTTTCATGCCTTTTTAAATAATACACCAACACTACCAAATCAGGATATAATTGAACAGCAATTCAAGTGCAGAAATTTCACAACAAACACATTCAGCTGATGCAACTGTAACTATCGGGAACGATATATTCAACCAGATCCAGATTAATAAATCTCATAGAACACAATAGAATATGAGCTTTGTGTCAGAAACAAAATGATATGAGTTCATTCCCTCTAACAATTATCTCTCAACTATTGCAAAAAAAAGTATGCACTACTTTTTGCACTACTTCCAGTTCTGCTCTTTATGATTCCTGTGATATTTTTATTGAGCATCGTGTAAAACATGCCTTGCTGTGTGACAATAAAAAGTCTCAAATGTTTATGCATGACTAACCTGTTTTATTGAATGTCTTTATATACATAGCAAATATGTGCACATAAAAAAAATATGTGCACATTTTCAGAAAATATGTGCAAGACCTGAATTTATTGACTTTCACTTAAAGGGATAGTTCACCCTAAAATGAAAATTCTGCCATCATTTAAACACCCCCAAGTTGTTCCAAACCTGTATGAATTTCTGAACGTCAATGGGGTCCCATCAACTGTTGGTTACCTACAATCTTCTTGTGTGTTCAGCAGAAGAAAGAAATCCATACAGGTTTGGAACAACTCAAGGGTGAGTAAATGATGGCAGAATTTTCATTTTTGGGTGAACTATTCTTTTGATAAAGCTATAGATCCCATTTAAAAAAAATCTTTAGCCATCGGCATCACAGAAAAAGTGGCGACCCATAATCTGCAGTGAAGGAATGTCAGATGTGATATTTCAAAGAATGGATCTGACCTCTAGCTATTTTCTCATAATTCAATAAAATATGCGTTATATTTGTTGGCGCAGATATCGTTTCCCAGGTTACCATCGACAATGGCATTTTCTTCCATCTCTTTGTGTTGTCTCTTTATTTCTAAAGGCTGAAGAATATGAACATTATGAAAAGTTCATTTCTGAATTCCACGAGATCTGATCTGAAATCACGACAGAGCTCTCTGAAAAGAAAAAAAAATCGTCTGTTCTGTCATCCACTAAAAGACAAATGTTTTAGATGCATCTGTCCTTGGTAAAGGAACAGGATTTTGACAATAAATATTATCCCACACCACTGCTTCAAAAATAGTCCCGTATTTTACATGCAGCTTCATTCTGATCTGCCTGTTTTTTCCCTCCTCGGGTAGAAAATAATGAGGGCATTTGAATATTTGAGCCACACACTGATAAAATAATTCTTTCACATGTGATCTCTTGTGTTTGGTCATTAGCATAATTTATTACATCATGAAGTTTGTGAGAATACCTGCAAAAAAAGGATCATGTATCTGCTTATTTCCTCAGTGAGTCAGATGTTTTACTATCCCTTCCATCTCTGCTAAAGGGGAAGGTGCCATTTAGGCAGGTGTCACATCCATTATTTATGTCTCCCACGCCACCAACAATTTTCTTACCTGACACTTCACTTCAATTAGCCCTAAAACGTCTCTTTTTTTTGTTGCAGTGTGTTGCAACCTAGCTCAAAAGCACTCTACAAAGCTCCATTTGCAGCCATCAGCCTTTGGTCTGTCAATCTCTTGTCTCATGGATTTCAAAACACATTCTCTAATGTGTAAGTGCAGCAAGAATGAACAGCTAAATAAGGTTGATTCCCATGCACAGATATCTTAATATGAATACTCACAGCCTGAAGCATCTTCATTGAAGGTAAATGAGAGCATAGTATTAGATTTGACAATATATCTACAGCCCTTCATCTGTTCTTTAGTATTTTTTATCAAGATTGCTTCTATTTATATGGCTATTTCCACTCGTAATGATGAGCACTTCATGTACAAGTGGGAGCTTCAGACACGGATGGGACTGAATGAAAATCCAGGCTCTTTACAGATGTCAAGTGGCCCAATATAATTTGCACGGACATTATAGGGGGAATAAGTGCTGTTGATCCACCATTTTAAAATTCTAAAAGCAGAGATGACTTCAGTCAAAGTCTAAATTACATGTAGCTATACTCACTTCACAGTTGGAAAGGCTTGGTCATCAGCTAAAATTGATGAGAACATGAGAATCAAACAACAGTTCATAAATATTATCAGTGGAGCTGTAATATCATTTCCATATTCACTCTATCAAAACAGAGACAATATGCCAAACTTATTTTATTCATTTTAACAAGCTATATCTTTCATATTAACACACAACGGTAACAAAAACCATCTGTACCTGTGTGTCTGAATATGTCTGCATTGTAATCAGGAACAATAATAATCTACAATGAATAACATAAAAGGTTAATGTGTCCAAAATGATATAGCCTAAACAAAAGGTACAATGTGCTTGTAAATTAAAATGTAACCAAATCCTAAAACAGATCTTAGTTAAAATCATCAATTACCAAAGGGATGCCAATTACCACATGTAGTTCTGGGTCATTTTCTCTCATTAAATCCCATAAAACTTAATAATTCAATGGGAAGTTATTTTTGAAGTAAGAATTCGATACCCCAAAATAAATAAATAAATGTTTTTATTCAAGTTAATATAAAAACATAAATTAAGTTCTCGCTGTCTTAAATTATATACAGTATGTCTATTTTAACAGTTTTATATATACTGTTCAAAAGTTTGGGGTCTGTTCAAATGTTTTAATTTGGATCAAAAATACAGTAAAAACGGTAATATTGTGAAATATTATTCAAATTTTGAAATAAACATTTTCTATTTTATTATAGGCTATATTTACATATATTTTAAAATGTAATTTATTCCTGTGATGGCAGAGTTGAATTTTCAGCATCATTACTCCAGTCTTAAAGGGATACTCCACCCAAAAATGAAAATGCTGTCATCATTTACTCACCCTCAAGTTGTTGCAAACCTGTATGAGTTTCTTTCTTCTGCTGAACACAAAGGAAGATATTTTGAAGAACGATTGGAACCAAACAGTTGTTTGGCACCACTGACTTCCATAGTAGAAAAAAAAAATACTATGGAAGTCAATGGTGCCAAAGTTCCATAGTTCTTCAAAATATCTTCCTTTGTGTTCAGCAGAAGAAAGAAACGCATACAGGTTTGCAACAACTTGAGGGTGAGTAAATGATGACAGAATTTTCATTTTTGGGTGGAGTATCCCTTTAAGTCACATGATCCTTTAGAAATCACTCTATGCTGATTTGCTGCTCAAGAACCATTTCTTGATTATTAATGTTGAAAACAGTTGTGCTGCTTAATATTTTTGTGGAAACTGTTACTTATTTACAGGATTCTATCAAAAGACCAGCATTTATTTGAAATATAAATCTTTTGTATAATTAAATGCCTTTACTGTCACTTTTGATTTAAAGCACCCTTGCTGAATAAACGTATACATTTCTCAAAAAAAAAAGTGTTATGAAGATACTCAATTTATACTCATTCTACTGAAGTCACATGTTTTAAAAATTTGTTCAGTTGAAACTAATGAATGTAATGTCATACTGTAAATGTAAACTGACTGTCAAAAGCCAGAAGCAGTCTATTTTCATTTAATGCAGGGGACAGACTGACATTTCTGATGAGTGTTCTTCACTGTGTTTTTTGAAGAGCTCATAACCACACTTCCCCAAATGGGTGGTTTAAACTGGCATTTGTGGCGAGGCCAAGACTTCTGCTATCTCTCAGCGCTGGCGGGAGAAGAGATTCCTGAAAGCGTTATTATAGTTCTTGTTGAAGGCTGTGTAAATGAGCGGGTTGAAGAAGGAGTTGGAGTAGCCCAGCCAGAGGAAGACACTCTTCCATATCGGTGGAATGTGACAGGAGCACAGCGGAGTGATGAGCTCGGTGAGGAAGAAAGGGATCCAGCACAGGACGAACACTCCGATGAGGATGCCCACCATCAGAGCCGCTCGCTTCTCCTTCTGTTCTCGCCACGTCTCACTGTCAGTCTGAAATATCACAGTGGCATGGCGGACCGTGAACACCATCTGAGGCAGTTGCCTGGAGGCCTCTTTTACCTGAGGGAACACATGTGTCTTGAGTGGATCAGTCAGGAGCATAGATTATAATCAAATAAACCACAGTACGTATTTCAACCTAGATCGATTTTAGTACATTTTTTTCTTCTTCAATAAAATCATTCAATTCCTCTATATTCCACGTGTCCTCATACAGCATGTGAATTGAATTTACATATTACATTTGAAATATTTACACTAATGTTCAAAAGTTTGGGGTCTGTAAGATTTTAGATTTTTAATTAATAAAAGAAATCTCTTGTTCACTAAGATATGCAGAAGATCTGCAGTAATATTGTGAAATATTATTACAATTTAAAATGTTTGTTTTCTATTTTAATATATTAAAATGCAATTTATGTGATGGGAAATTTTCAGTCTTTAGTGTTACATGATCCTTCTAATCATTCTATGCTGATTTAATGATCAAGAAACATTTCTTATTATCAATGTTGAAAGTTGTGCAGCTTAATATTTTTGTGGAAAGCATGACACATTTTTTGGCGATTCTTTGATGAATAGAAAGATCAAAAGAACAGCATTTAGTAGAAATTAGATAAATTAATAGAGTTTTTGTAACAGAGCGAATGTTATAATGTCACGTTTGAACCATTTAAAACATCCTTTCTGAATAAAAGTATTAACTGCACTGATCCCAGTTTTTGAATAGTGTTCAATTCTTAAATGATTTAATTAGAGTGAGAATATAGATAAAAACAGTCTTCAAAGAAAACCAATCCAATGAAGTCAATGCATGACATGCTGACCTCACTCATGCATTCATGTAGGTTTTTTGTGCCATTTCTTCAAGGGTCTAGATAACATAATGTGAAATTGCATAGGACTTCGGCAGTATTAGAATGGCCATGAAAATAGCCATTTAAGCATAAGCTTTTAAACCCTTAAAGTTTCTGTGTCAAACCTTTGACAATCAGTCCTAAACCCAATGAAGTAGAACAGGATGGTAATAGAATGGAAAATAATGTGGAACTTATCTACGTAAGGTGTCAGGATTACTATTCGCCACAGTGTTGTGACATGCTCAGAGATTTTGCCATGCTTTTCAAGGTAATAGAGCAAGCTAATGGGACATTCGGGTTCAATTGCCTATTGAATTGCTGTCCAGTGACGTTCTGTAGAATACCGGTAATGTAAAGAGGAATATGAACAGTCTGATTTGAATTAATAGAATACGTTCTGGAATTTTAAAATATAAGAAGTTCTCTGTGCTGTACAGTCTGTACAAAATTAAAACATGCATCAGATAAAGATCCTAAAATGTTGCTGCATTAAGAAAAAGCATTTCACAACATACAGTATCATTTATACCTCTCCAGCCTCTGCAACTGGAGTGATGGTGTTGGTCCTCTTGGATCCAATACGGAACTTAGCAGCTTTGTATATCTTCCAGTAGACAAACAGCACAACACAGAGAGGCAGATAGAAGGCCCCGAATGTGGAAAAGATGGTGTAAGACGGCTCCTGGCTCACCTGGCACTCCATGTCCATCTCTGAATAGGTCTCACCCCAGCCAAACAGAGGGGAAAGGGAAATAACAGACGAGAGCAGCCAGGTCAAGCCAATCATCCCATTAGAGATCTTCTTTCGGGTCTTCAGCGTGTACTCCAGGTGGCGCGTTATGGACCAGTAACGGTCAAGGGCTATTGCGGTCACATTCCAAATGCTGGCCGTACAGCACAGGACATCGAAAGATATCCAGACTTGGCAGAGAGCTCGGCCCAACTTCCAACTCCGACCGTTGAGCTCATGGACCAGACTGAGAGGCATCACCAAAGCAGCCACCATAACATCAGATATGGCCATGGATGCCACCAGGTTGTGGGGCACACGGTGGAATGTTCTGACTCTGAGAATTGTGACAAGGACGAGCATGTTCCAGAAAAATGTAGCCACCACAAGCATTGCCAGCAGTGTGAACGTCAAGACGCTGAACACTGTCTGTGGCCAGTAGACATTTCCATATTCTGAGCTTTGATTAAAGGAGCTGTTATGGCTGACATCAGCCATGTTATTGAGTGCACTTTTGTCCACTTTACACCACTTACAAAATAGCAAGAAAGAACTTCACTGGACTGCAACAGCTGTAAAAAAAAGAAAAGAAAATAGAGATTGGTAAAAAAATCTGCTTCTACACATATTAAATAGCGATACTTAACATCGGAAACTGAATGTTTGCTTGTAGAATCTGCTATGAAATGATACAATTTACCATTTAGACATGTAGGGGTAATGTACAGTCAGCCAGTCAAAATCACCATAAAACTGTTATTTGGAAAAAAATTTAATATATATTTGACCTTTTTTTTAATTCAAGTTATAAATATTAAAGCTTAAAGTCAGCATGAAACGGAAGTTGCAACAGTCTTTTCTTCCATATTGTGATGTAGGGCGGGACTCGAATTTGTACCTCTGGAATTGATTGGATAGTTGTCATTTGTTATTTCTGTGATGTCAAGTGAATGACAGGTTGTCTTTGCACCAGTAAACACGTCATCAGAGAAAAGATGTCGCTGCAAGAGGAAAGTTATTTTGATTAAAAATATAAGGCCACATGAAAAAAAAAGAATGATGTGAAATCATTTAATAAATACTGCAATATTCCATAAAAATAGCAATTGTCAACTTTGATTTCTTAGTGACTTTAAAAGAGATGCACCAGTCAGTACAGGTACTGTTCATAAAACGTAGGCGAGTTGTCACGCAGGGAGAACTCAGAAATAAGGTGCTGCCTGGATCCATGTGCAGTATGCAAGTTACAAAGATTGGAAACAGTCAAAATTCACGTTTCCTGTGAACGGAACGGAATGGAACAGAGATAATCCACAGGGAACGGAACGGAAAAGAACAGAACAGAACAGAACAGAAACAACCACCAACATGAAGCCATAAAAGGACAAGACCTGACAAAGAACACAGGTAACACAGGGGTATAAATACACAAGGCTAACAATATAACAAGACACACCTGGGAGAAATCAAGACTAGTGAACAGGGGGAACCAATCAGCAAAAGGACTACAAAATAATTACAAAACCTATAGGAACTGAACATAGGCAGTGAATCACTCGCTTACTTCCTTCCGTCTCGTGGACTCGGATGAGAGTCATTTCTTACGTTGCACGAGTGCCCACTACTGGTGGAAATCGTGCATAAGGTTTCAATGGAACGCACTAAGCTCTTGATCACTTGGAATGCACTATGGATTTATTATTTAAACCCCTTTTTACTTATGAATTGGTTTTATGCACCATTCTATATGCATAAATTGTTGGAGAACGAGCGAGAAGGTGGCTGGCCGCACACTGGATTCAGTACAGACAACAGAAGCTATCATAACATGACATAATTTTGCACAATGCAATCCATAAAATATATATATATTTGATAGACTTCTGTAGTCTGTACTGAATCCAGAGTGTGGCCAGCCACCTTCTTGCTCGTTTTCCATATTCCCTTGGCTCTAAGCACCTGAGGAAAACATTTTTTTTTTGTCAATTTAGAGTGCAACAATTTTTTCTAGTTTTTATAAGTTGTTGGAGAAAATATATAAAATCCTATAAGTATATGAGCTGTTGGAGAAAAATAAAATCAATAGTATAAACTTTGACTGTGAACATAAGGTAGCTACAAGTATTATAATTATTACATAATTCTTTAATCTTTAATAAAGCAGAAAATTAAAATAACAAGACAAGTGGCAAACACTTGAACAGAACAACCCAATGATATCTAAGACAGACAAAGAATGAACTGAGGAAAACATAGAACTTAAACACAGACCAAACCAATCAATGCAGTGAAGGTGTGAACACTAATCAAACAATGAGTAACCAAGTAGACTAACATTTACATTTACATTTATTCATTTAGCAGACGCTTTTATCCAAAGCGACTTACAAATGAGAACAATAGAAGCAGTTAAACTAACAGTAGGACAACAATATGCAAGTGCTATGACCCCTCTCAGTTTAATCTAACGCAGTCCATGTAATGTTTTTTTTTTTTTTGTATTACTGGATCAAGTGCTGCCGAAAAAGATGCGTCTTCAGCAGTTTCTTGAAACTGGCTACTGACTCAGCAGCTCTGGTTGAGCTAGGCAGATCATTCCACCAGCAGGGAACAGTCATGGTAAATGTCCGGGAAAGAGATGCTTCTAACCAGAAGCGGGAACAAGGAACAAAGGAAACCGAAAACAGAGGCCTATACCGTGAAGCAGGTTTAGGTGGATAAGGTGGCCTTTAGCCCTATTCGCACGGGATAAATATTACCTGGGGACCACGTGTGATTTAGAAATTACCCCCCCACATCTGAATTTCGTGTGGCGCATTCGCACGGGATAAGTGAAGCCTGTGATTTTACTCGAATTTACTGACTTATCTCCCGGATATGATGTCTATTGCTTGGAAATGTCTTGTAGTTATAGGTCTAGCTGTATGATATATCATAAACAGAATAATGTTCCTTTCCGCATGCTGCTATATCATTCATCTCCATCAAATCATTCTTTTTGTTTTTGCTCTTCTGATGGTTTTCAGCTTTCTCTTTCGATAGCGATATGACCCAGCACCCAAAATACTATCAAAACACTCCATTATTCGCGAAAGACTGATAAAAAAGCGCACAGGAAACAAAAACTTTGAAAAAAATTATATACGACCCCGCAAAATCACAGACATGGCCGATTCGCACGGGATTAAGATCACAGACAACCTCTGCAATTATTACAAATGACTAGAGGTCACCAGGTAATACTTATCCCGTGCGAATAGGGCTTATGACTGTAAATCCCCTTACAATTGTAAATACGAGTTTTCTAGTTAAAAATTGCACATGAACCCCCTCTCAAGTCATCTTTACCACTGGGAAGCTCAGAGATAATTTTGATACCCAAGTTCCAGAGTTGGACGGGCCATAAACATTAAACATGGCCGGAGAAAAGAACGATTGCTGCTGTGACTGGTATTCTTTACTAGATTTTTCCACAACAGTTTCGCCTTGTCGTGTCTTTAAAGTAGTGCATATTCACATATATGAATAATCATTTGAAGCGTATTATATGTTTTATACACTGCAAAAAATAGCCTTTATTTGACTAAAAATTCCAGACTCCAGAGATCAGTCAAGTCAAGTCAAGTCATCTTCATTTATATAGCGCTTTTAAGGGATGGGCAACTTCAGTGTTGGAGGGCCACTGTTGGAGCAGAGTTTAGCTCCAACCCAAATCAAAAACATATTATGAACAATGTCTTCAGGATTGCTAAAAAGCTACAGGCAGGTGATTTTTTGTCAGGGTTGGAGCTAAACTCTGCAGGACAATGGCCCGGCCCCTCCAGGATCGAAGTTGCCCATTACTGATAGCAGGGTGAATGTTCATACAGTTGTCAATGAATGAGAAGCTAATTATCATTTTGGCTTTAATGAGATTTTCCCAATAAATATGCAAGAATAAACCTGTGGTGTCTTTCCGACAACAAAACGGTTGAACGCAATGAGCTCGTAATCAAAATTTCAGAAGCGGGAAGTAGGACATTTCGATAGCACGTGAATGCAGCATAATTACCGTAGTTTTGAGATTACAACAGGTGACATTCTATTCTGAGCTGAAATTATGCATTTCTATGGCAACACTATCAACGCCTAAATGAATCTGGTGAATAGGTGCTCTCCGAAAATTCCCATCTTACAAGCTGTAATTATGAACTCTACAAGGACATGAACGCTTTTTACAAGTTGAAATAACATAATTACAGCAATTACAACATGGCGCGAACGCACCTTTAAAACAGTAGCTACTCTACATCATCGCACTACAGGCTGCAGGGAGGACATCTTGAATCTGACCGCGATTGTCCGATCAGAATATTCCAGACAGCTGTGTAAATAAGTTTCGTGTCAGTTGACATTGTATAAAATTATCTGAAAACATGTTGCTGACAAGCAAATTCTGTGTAACAACTTGGTAAAAACATTTTAGCCCAATGGCAGGGAGGTAAAAACATGGTGCTGTAGTTATTTTCTCAATGAAGGAAGATCTAATAGATTTTTCCCCATCTGCCCATGATCAGTATAAGAAGTGTCAAATACTCTTGAGTCTGAAGGTTCAGAAACATACTACTTTGTTCAACCATTGGTGCTGATAATTCGATGTAAAATATTGCACTGCTTGTAACACTTCTCCTTCACAAATTGGATTCTGGGTGGATTGTGGACTCTTAACTGATCCTTTCAACTGCTCTGTTTTAATGATCAAAGTATTTGCATTTTGATATCTTGCTGGGAGCAAAGTCTAATGAAGTCTTTGATAATTTATTCATATTTAATGTTAGCGAAAAGCTTAAATCTATATTTTACAACAGGTGCTTACATCAATATTTTAAAACAAGTATTCCTTCATGACACTAGTTTAATCATGCTTTGTGACTCTATAATGAATCTGCCACTGGAATCTGTTCAAGTAGCGATTGTTAAAAAACGTAATTGAGTTTTTGAACAATGTCTGTGTGAACGCTGACCAAACAGATTAAGCATTCATGTATGGCGTGGGGAAATTCATAAGCAGAAACAATAAACATTTCAAACAGAAAAGGTGAAATACAAGCAGATTGGTGACCAAAATAGCTTCAGTCTTCCCATGCCTTAAGGGTAAGTATGGATAATATAGGCTGTGCTTGATGTATGTGTAACATTAAAATATTTCAGAACACCTCAAGCTTGAACCTGTGCATACTACAATAGAATATATTTTTTGGTCTGTGGCCTAAATCAAACATCAGCTCAAGGCTAATTCACACTGCACTGACAGGCGCCGACAGTACGTCAATTACCAATAGCCAATTACAATACGTCACTTCTCAAACATTCCAAGACCCGAAAAATGTTCAATCGTCGAAAACGAGAGCCAACCAACCGCGACAGGGGTAACACACTGATCAGACAAAACCCGTTGAAGGGTCTGTTGCTGTCTGTCAGTGCGGTGTGCATTGGCCTTTAGTGTCACACTGCTCTATTAGACAGTCTTTTAAAAATGATATGCATGTGTGGGACTTTCACAAACCACATAATTTCCTTAAATCAAATATGAGACAT